TATTCACCAAATCATGTAAGCGCAAGTCGTTCTCACACAAAGGCTAAAGGTATTTGAGGAGGAGCCCAAGATAGATAGTCCGAGAAAATGGGCCAATCATAATTGAGCAGACATGGCTGGCAGGCAGCCAGCCAGGTAGTTCACGACGCTTTTGTGGGTGCTGACACACCCACACGTTGTAAGTACCAACTAACCGCATCGACGAACCAGACAAGTAAAACATCGGTTTCCAAACACGACAACCATGGCAACCTTTATACCCAACGCGACATAAAGCATTTGACCACAAGCCATGTTCAATTAGCTTCAGTATCCACGTAACAACAACCCAATTACTTTTACGTGACACACTGACCGTGCCTTCGGCTATCGCGTGGAGTTAAAAGATTAATAGAAAAAAACCCTGCCGCTACGATCTTCAAGCCCCTTTCCTTAGGAGAAGAGAAGACGACAGAAGGCGAGTGGAAGGAACAGTGCATTTTGTACAGAAGGAAGTGAAGAATAAGCAGGAGTAAGCTGAATATCGGACGAGTGTGTTCAGGCTGCTAGGGCGTCGGGTCCAAACCACTTCAAACCCTAACGCTCCAAACGCTGGCTCCCTGCAAAACCTTTGATGCAGAGAAACTTCACATACCATTTGAGATAGTTCCTCCGCTTATTATGAGGCTTGGCAGATTTTCTTAATCTGAGTTGAACCAATTGTGAAAAAACTCTAGGCGTTCGGCGGGATTTGAATCCGCGTATTAGAGAAGGCCTTCTTTAATACGTGGGTTAAAATCCGGCCAAACGCCTCGAGTTTTTTACAATTGGGTCAACTTTAAGCAAATCTGCCAAACCTCCTAATAATTAAGTCAGCCTAGTAGTCATTCCGGTATATTCTAGATGACTGCTTAGAAAATCCTGCTTGGGCAGTCAACTTGCTGCCCCAAATTGGTGGATTTCATACGAGCGGCAAAGTTGGGCGGGTAATATCAACCCAAGTGTGATTATATTCATGGCGCGAGGTGGGACGTATGTGGCTTAGCGGTTAGAATGTTGGCTTTCGGTAAAGGCCTCCTCTAATACGCGGGTTCAAATCTCGACGAACACCTCGAGTTTTTTAACAAGTGGGGCAAATAAATTAAGCAAATCTGCCAAACCTCTCAAATAATTAAGTCAGCGCAGTGGTCATTCTGTTAACTTCTAGATGATTGTTTAGCAAATCCCGCCTGGACAGTCAGCTTGCTGTTTTGTATTGCTGTATTCCGTGCGTGCAGTAAAGTTGGGAGGTCAAAATCGATCCAAGTGTGGTTTAATTAACTGCGTATGGCGTCCCGTTCGTAGCTCATTTCACCAATCGTTGGCTGTGTAAAGGCCTTCACTACTATTCGTGTTCAAATCCGAACGCCGCTTAAGTTAAGGAAATCTGCAAACCTCCTTTATAATAAATATTATTATATGTTGGAATGAGTTTATAAATATTAACAGAACAGCCATGTATTTTAGAGATAATTTCTAAGTATTAATTAATTTGGTAAGAATTTTGAAGCCACATCTTATTTTAAAGGTTTCGTTAAACCTTTAGAACTAGCTTACTTTAGGATAAGTGGATCAAAAATACAATGCCGAAAAACCATTAATTTTTTTACAGGAAGGACTTGAAACACATCGCCGTTAGATACTACCGGTAAACATACTCAACGGTAGGAACATTATTTTAATTCACAGGAAACGGTCAGTTTTTCGATCTCAGTGATAAATTAAAGTTGAGACTACGTATACTAAAATATCTTTAATGTTCATCCAGCAATAAAGTGTTCAAAGTTTTGCTGCCTTTTATGTGTTTGACATCTAATACATCAGAATTTTAGAATACTTAAATAAATATACTTACTTATATAGAATACAATGTAATTTGCTGACTATCGGCAACTTAGCAGCAAATATATTGCCTTTACTCTTTAATACAGTGCGATTACTGGTACTAAACTCAAGTCCTAATTGCACTGCTCATTTTTGCATTTACCTATTTATTTGGCAAGTAAATCGTTTCTTGAGTGGATTTATTTACAGGCTTTTAACGTAGACATAGACTACTAGGCGGCCGCACTAAAATTTAATAATAATTTAATAATAGTGTAATATTTATCATAGGCGTATGCCTTAACAACTTTGCTGTATTCAAGCAATGTCTTTTGTTATTTTAAGAATTACGTACGCCAGTGAATATGACTACGATGGCAATCGCATGCTCTGCACATGTGATCAACCCTTAAATTTCTTTCCGTGTGAATTTTAATGTAATTCAAGCAATCAGCGGTTAGAGTTTGATATCTCCACGTTCATCACTCTTGTCCGTGAAGGTATTTGATGAGGAATTTCATAGGAACATAAGCTTACGATAAAGCTTTTTCCTGGTCACCGATTTTTCATTTAGATACTACCTTGAACTCGTGCATCCCCCAAATGCACGCTGCTAGGATTTCTTAAATTTGAATTCATGCTGTTCTGTACATATTATACTTAGCTTAATTCAAATTGTTATCTTAAAAAAATAGGCAATGGATTCAATTCAACGAAACAATGTACTATTTTTCGATGGCGTGCACAAGTAAAATCAGTAAAAAATGTAGTGGGTTAAAAAACGTACAGTAAGAAAACGTTACTTATTCGAAAAAAAGTTCTTGAACACGGGGACGTTTGCAAACAGGATGAGCATCTGCTGGACGGCCGCCGGGCCATAAAAGTCCTGATGAGGCGTTGCGGTGGTCCGACTGCTTCCCTTGGCGGAAAAGGCGAAATCGATTCTGGATGGAAGGCCTTCGGGCGAATCGAAAAAGTTGTTTGATATGAACTTCATTATGCACCACTGTCGTCAACAGTGACGGGATTAGTACGCATACGTCGATGGCGACAGGATGTTGCACCATTACTCAAAGGGAAGAAGAGCATATTCCAAAACCAGCTCGGCGTGAGCCCCACTATTATTATATTCATTTTATATTTACATCTAAAATAAGTTTCAAGGACTATATTCGGCGCTGAGACTAAGAAAGGTCAAGCATTTTTCTATTCAGGCAGCTAACTGGCGACACCTGTTTTCACCACTAATATAAATAAGCGGGAGTTCCGGACAATAGCAATACCAAAAGTTCATAAGAGATTGACATTATGTCCATCTAATGCGCATCGCGCTGCAATTACCTGCGACTTTGGCTGATATATCCTGCAAGCACTTAACACAAAATCAACATAGGTGTGTGGCCAGGTCACCTAATACAACTTAACTGAAAAATAATGTTACCAACATTGCAGCGTTGTGGCAAACGTATATCTGCAATATTACTCTGAAAAGCTAGTTCAGTGTCGCGAAACAACTTACAACCTTTCAGCAACGCCCACAACGCGTTGTTGCTGAGTAAACTAATAAC